ACAAAGCAATGCGTTTCACTTAGGGGAAGAATAAATGTCTTAAGCACATTCTGTCTGAAGGCACCAGTTCCAGGAAAGGCTCACTGATGCTGTGAAATGACCATATCCTGGGATTCTAATTATTAAAAAGACTTGTTCATGTTCTACCCAGTTCAGTAGGTGCATTTGCTGGCCTAAAGGTCACACCAGGACTGCAAAGGATGAACAAGACAAACCTTTGCGGGACCCCTTTTCTTCTTGCCCCAGTCCACACTTACAGTGATGGGCAGAGGATTGCAGACCTCCTTCCAAAAGCATGTGCTTTGCAGTCTCCCATTACATTGGTATGCCAAGCAATCAGATCTCAACTCCTTTTAAAAATCAGTCTGATGATAGGAGTCCTATCCATTTCAGCAAATTCAAAGCACTGCCCTTTAAGGGATGCTAAAAACTGGAGCAACATAATTCCTTGGTTAGTCATGGATTTTTGCAAGAAGCAGCAAGCTCTTAACAATTCAGGGTCCTCACCCTGGGATTAATGGAATATGTAGTCCTGTGAGGGATTTTGCTAGCTTCATAAAGCAATCACTGACTAAAAAGGAAAACACCAAAGGTGAAAATAAATGCCTAAATATCTCTTAAAACTCTAAGATGAAGCCATCTCTGAAGGATATTTCAGTCCTTCCCACAAAAGTTGCAGGGATTTCAGAACCACCTGCGAATTCACTGCTGCCAAAGAGACATATGCAGTTTAATCTCTACTTCAGAATAGGACTGAGAGGATGGAGACTAAGTTAACATCATAGAAACATTTGGTCCGTTATTCACCTGGCTCTTAAGGAACGTATATTTTGACACTTCAGATTGCTTGTTCATCATCAAGAAAAGAAAATATCTCCTTTATATGCAGAAAGATAGCATTCAGTTCAGAGATGAACAAGATCTTTAAAACACAGAACAGAAAATAAACTGTAAAAAGAACAAGAATATGAGCAACTAAGAATAGACGCAAACTTTGCTGAGTCTCTAACTTGCAATTATTTGATTTATCAGAATGTTTCAGTATAACCCAATGTCATTGCTCTAAGAATCTGGACCCAGCCTAACCACGCTGCACACATCTGATGAGCTTGAGAACCATCACATTGTCACTTCAAGCAAGATACCAGTGCAAAATCTTCTGTAAAACAGGCACCTGTTTTACATGAAGGAAAGCACAACAGTGCAGAACACAGGTCTTGTGCTATTCCATTAGCACAATTACAGAAAAGTAATCTCTGTTAAGTACCCACAGCACAGTGGTCTGTGAATTCCGGAGATGTGACTTTATGATCTGGATGTTCCCTCTAAATATTCTTTTAATTTTGACACAAGCAATAATGCAACACATGAGAATGCTGCAAGTATCCTTGTTTCTTCTGTTTACATAGTTACAATCCCTGTTGTTTAGTAATTGAGCTAAAACAGATGAAAGATCACAAACGCAAGGCACACACAATCAATTTATTTTTAGCAATTGTTGTTTACCGTTTTCTACAACATCTTATATTGTCATCCCTCCTGGTGGTACAGAGAAAAAGGGCTTAAATTAACTTGTATACAAAGGTTTGCCACAAGACACAAGTCAACTCTCCAGGAGCAATCACAGAGCCCCTGTGAATTACAAACTCTGTTACAAGAAGAAACACTTTTTTCTTACCTCTTTCTTGCACACAAATGCCATCATTATAGAATGTAAGTGTTGGTTGAGACAGATATGCAAAAAGGCAAATTTTATGCTCATTAGTTTAACCTTGAGAACCCAGGGTCACTGTTTTGGGTGCCATGATTTATGATACTTACAAATTATATGGGTCTATTTACATTTTTACCTTATGGAAAAAAAAGCCAAAGAAATAAAACGTTGCTCCTCATTAACCCCTCATGAACATGGAAAGAGTTGCTCAAAACAGAAAATAACCCAATGTACTAAAACACACTGTTGAAAAATTTCGAATCATGCTACTTCTGTCTTAAATGTCACATTACAGTCATTCCAGGGTCTAATAGCATTGCAGAAAACCAGCACTCTTTGGAATAGAATGGGTGTTTTTTATGTTTTGTGCCATGGTACAGGGCATGAGTAGCTGATGTTCTGTCCAAAATGTCAGGTGTGTTTTGAAGGTGAGTCCCTTAGGTGGTGGCATATCTAAAAGATGGGGAGTCTGAAAATTTGAAGGTGGTGAGAAGTTTCAGGGTATGTGAATGGCATGTTTGGTTTTGTCCATTTCTGATGTATCACTTGGCTTGCTACACCAGCAGTTACACTGTGAATTTGAAGTTTTAAATTGCCCTTCTGTTGCTCATACCTATCTCCTCTGCCAACCACATTAGCACTAACAGCCTTCTCTAGGCAGACAATGCTATAAATAATAATGCCTAACAGTGTACAGGTAGTTAAGAAAGTTTAAATAAATGAACTGAGGAAGAATATGTTAATAAAGCAGGCTACTAATACCAGAGTGCTTGTGCCTCTCATCAGCTACGTTCAAGTACCATTTAAAAAGTGCTTGAAGTATACCTGTAGTATTTCACTTCAACCTCTAATAATTCACATTAATTGCTTAATTGGATAAATATTTGCATTAGCAGATTTGATAGTAGGCACTGGCATTCAGGAATGTCAGAACAGAATACAGGTAAAGTGTACATAAGTGCTCTCAACAAGAAAAGGAAAAACTCCATCCTGGGAGACTGAACAGATGCCATTCTCCATAGGAGCACAGCCTGTCTGGCAAGTCAGCTGGCCTTCCCAAGGACCAAGTGCCTTTTGCCAGTGCAATAAGGACTGATCTACCTGATCAGGAAGTAGGCATGACAAACCTATAAGGGAGTTAGCTCTCTACAGCCATGAATACTGGATGGCATGGGGCCTTGAAGCCAACAACATACATACATTGCAAGAGTAAATGCAGGGGAGGATGTCCTTCTGGACTGTTTTTCCAAGTTCAGGATTTCCAGATGCACCCAGTTCTAAAGTTTGAAAAGGTATAAGGCTCTTCCTAATACGCTGGTTTCCCTTTCCTTCCACAAGAAATGTCATATTGACATTTGTTGTCAACAAGTTTGATACTAGCTTGATGTCCAGTTTACACCACTGCTGCAACTTACATGCATGAAAGGGATTTCTTGGACTGCTTATGTAATTCATAGTGTCCTGTGTTTGTGGTATCAAAGCCCATAGAAAAGGTCAGAGTACATTCAGGTTACCTGATTTAGCTCACTACTCCTGCATTTCAACTTAAAAGCATAAGCCTTTAACTGCACACAAAAGCCAAATAGGCATCCAGCATCTTACACTCAAAGGAAACCAACAGCCTTCTTCCCAAGTAGTAACAATCTGTAAGCAAGGGGCAAAAGGTGACTATCCTAATAAACCACACCACAGTGAATACAGGGAATCTGCATTTGACTGAAAAAACAGGATGAGCACCAACTAAAACTAATCATCATCCCCTAACATCGCTGCCAGCCTGCTATGAACAACTCTTGGTTTCCTACATGCACTATAGTAAGCTCTCATCCTAACCCGACATTGTTGATGCTTCACAAAACTGTTCCCAGTGCATGCTGCCATGCAAATCTGACATGCCTTAGACCTGGAGGAACAAGTTTTTCTTATTAATGAGTGCTTCAAATCAGACTAGAAGAGACTTCAACATTATAGAAAATGTCACTTTCTTTTTTGGTAATGTTTCTGAGCAATTCACCCCACTCTCAGATGTCATCCATTATAAACCAAAAGCTACTTCCACCTCCTCTGTTCTTGCAGAAAAACAACAAAAGGAATCATTCTTAGCATTCAGTGGAAAGTTACTACAGTTAATGAGCACAGTCACAGAGATTAAGATTTAGAGTCAGAGTCTGGTGGGAGTAGGGGAGGAGGCTCTCAAAGAATCTTAGCAGCCACAGAATTGAGGCAAAAAAGCACTCAAGAAATCATCTAGTGCCTATCATAGACCATAATGATTTTCTGGACTTTTCAGCAATTAGCTTGGCAGTTTAGTAAGAAAAATTGTGCCTTATTTGTGTTTGGAACATGTTGAATTTCACCTTTGAATCACACGATCGGGTTATTGTTTGCTAGATGGTATCCATGACCACAGTTTTCCAGCAGACGTGGACTATAATCCATTCATTCCTTAATCTGAGTGGTGATAACCAAAACACGAGTTCCTGAGGTTAATCAATATTTACACAGTGTTAGTCATTTATCTGCAATGGCATTAGAGTATGTTTCCTTAACAGTGGCACTTCAAAGGGGCCTAGTTAGGATAAGTCTCCCTTCCACCAGGTACTAATACCTCTAGAGTGCTGGACTCAAGCACTAAAGAAGTAGCAAGGTTTTATACTGCATGATTTTAAGGGTGGACAAGTCATAATCTGCAAGGTAGTTTGGTTTTGGTGGTGGTGGTGCTGGGGAGGGAGCATTTACAGTGCTGCTCACTTCTTGCAGTCTGGATGTGTTTGTTAGTCCCTGCATTTTGCCAAACATGGATAATGCAGCCTCCGTAGCTTGCAGTAGTGGACGACTACTTTTGTGCTCTCCCTTGGGTAGACAAAGGAAAACAGAACACTATCAAAGTGCAACAGATAGATCTTCCTAGTGAATAGTTTCTGAACCTAAATCTGCCTCATCATAATAAGTATCTACCCGAAAGGTGAGCTAGGCCTTGTCACAAAATAGGAAACGTGGTTTGCAGTGATGCACCCAGTGCTGCTGCTAAAGATGATGCTTTTGAAGTATCAGGGAGGGAATTGTTACAATGGCATAAGACCAGTAAACACTCACTTCACTACAGACATCCACTAAGGATCACAGCCCAGTCCTGTTGGTTTGCATAAGGTTGTCAGCTTTTGTCAAATGACAAACAGCCTTGTGCAGAAGGAGAATTACCATTCTAGAGGGAATAACACCCACCATCAATTATAGCAATAGTTTTACAGTCTCTGTTAGCTAAAACAATTACTTTTTTCCCCAGTTTCCTTCAGCTTCAGAGATATAAACCATGCATTCCAGAACTAACAGCACCGAAAGCCCAACCAGACCAAAGCTGAGCCAGCCAAGGGTGAAAGACCACCACAGAGAAGAGGTTGGTTACAGTGGGAAAGGAAGCACACAAACACAGCAGAAAGAGAAGGACGATGTAGCCCAAGCCAGCACCATCCTGAGAAGTCCAAAGGCAGAGAAAAAACAAAAAAGTTCTGTCAAGAAAAGAGAGGATCTCTCTCGTGATGACTTGCTATTTCTTCTGAGCGTCCTTGAGGGTGAATTACAGGTAATGTATTGTCCTGATTTATATTCTAAATTAAAAGACACTCCACCCTCCAACCCCATTATCTCCTCCACTACATACATATGCTGCTTTTTTTTTAAGAAAGCACCTTACACAGTCTGATGCAGGACAAATATGAACATATTTGTCTTGTATCATACAAAAACACCCCAAAATTATAGCTATTATAGCTATCGACAGGAAACATGATCTTTATACCACAAGTAACTCTTAAAGCAGACAACTCATAAAACTTTCTAGTTGTGCTGCCCCATTCTAAGTATCTTCAAATCAAAGTATCTGCCATGTACAGCTGAGATGGAGAACATATTACAGACCTTTAAGATATTTTACTTAATTATGTCTTATCCTCCCATCCTGTGAAGCCATGAGTTTTACTCCCTATGAAACAGTATGTGCCACTTCACAAGAAGAAACTCATTTAACAGTATTCCAACACTCTGGGCTAGAAAAATCAAAATAGCCATTTTATTTCCCATAGTACAAAGCAAATGTGTTACATGACACTTAGCCCCCAAGTTACTGGATTTTAAGAGTGAGCATTTTTCTACCTAGAAAAGGAACCATCTGTCAAGTGGTAAATGGTGCTTAACCTGGTCAAACATCATTTTAGGAAGTTGGAACCAGATTTCCAGTGAGCAGGGAAAATATTTCTGTGGCAGACTTATTACACAGAAGCAATAACTTTAAAACTACTCACAGGCACAGAAAAAAACAACCTGGCCAAAGTGGCCTAAATAGGTGTAGCACATGGTGTCAGAGTTTATTACCTAGACAGTACCTGGGTAGTTCTAGTCTTAAAGTGTGTGTGTATGTTTATACAATAATACAGACATGCTGAACAGAACTCACATGTGATATGAATATTTAATAGCTGCACCAATATTTGAGGGTAGATTCAAGGCAAACTTCTACAGAGTGTTTCATTATCCAAACAGAACAATTTCCATATTTGCAAAACATTTCTCTCCTGCCCACTTGGCCTTTCTTAATTTAGGTTAAAGTTCAGATGTCACACCTTTTTGTATATTTATTTATATTATACACACACTCTTCATTACATGTGCATCATATAAATGCAAAAATATAAATGTAAATATATATACACACACTCTTCAATTATTAAGCTTTAAAGCTGGAATAAGGAATTGAGAAACTGGAAAACAATGAACCTGAAATGAACATTTTAAAATCACATCTGAAATTTAAAAGGAAGCAGCACTATGAATGAAAAATATAGGAAATCATCTTTTATCCCTTATTTTCCACCTCCAGCACTGCCAAGTCAAATTACTGAAGATCAGCTGTCATTCCAATCATAACTAAATTTCTAATTTAGATGTCATTCCTTTCCAAGTTCCAGAACATTCAAGGTGTACAAAGACCACTCTTCTGTGTTTTGCGAAGGATTAGAAATAGACTATTTTATATTTTAACGTTTGTTTCAACAGTCATAAATGGGGATACAGAAGTCTTCCAGCCAAAAGGAGTCAGACTAGAAGCCTGGTATATCCTTGTCTCTGATTTCCTTCCTTCCTGGTCTATCCTTCTAGGATTAGCACATACTTGTTTTTAACTTGAGATGATTGCAGAGCACAGATGTTTGAGACAGTTCATGTAGCTTGTATCACTGCAATAAAGGGAGGCAGGGGGCCAATCTCCACCACCAGAGGATGCAGAGTTGAGGGGAACCCCCAAGAGGAACACATCTGTAGTGTGTTTAAACTACAGGAGTCATCTCCACCCAAAACATACAGAATGTACAACACTTTCAGGTTTCAAGAAACATCCCACCATCCTGCACTAACAAGTCAATTTCTAATACCACAAGACACACTTTGCCCTGAAACTTTTTCTTGTGAATGCTGCACATTAGTCCAGAAACAGCAAAACACTCTAATCATTAAAGAAGTACTTAAGCTTTGATGAAGGGTCTGAAGATCTTTGGAGTTTATGTTGAACTTAAAATACAAAGACCAACACTTCCCTCATGCTTTTCAACTGTCTTCACATTTCTGACTGTTTTGTAGCACTTTACATACACAGTGTTATTTTAGAAGCTTTTCAGTTTTCTTAAAATCAAAAGCAGAGAGCTAACCTGTAAATACATAAATACAGTTTAACAAGATAAAGCCTTAATTTGTGTTTCTGCAGGCTCAAGATGAAGTTATAGGAGTACTTAAGGCTGAAAAAATTGACTTAGCTTTGCTTGAAGCACAATATGGCTTTGTTACTCCTAAGAAGGTGTTAGAGGCACTCCAGCGAGACGCTATTCAAACAAAGGCTGAGCAATGGCAAGAAGATGTCTATGAAAAGCCTATGGGAGAGGTAAGAATGAGTAACTGATATTTAACCATAGTTCCCACCAAATTCAACAGAAAATCTCACCCACTGCTAGGGAAGGAGGGAAATGAGCTCTAAATCTGGAAAGGAACATGAGTGTAAGTGAGAGCAGAACAAAGTCCAGGGTCCAGCTGGGACCTGAATCTAGTGATCCTCACCACTTATACTGCAGACTGGGACTTTATACATCGACAGACATGATTTTGTCTAATTCAAACCATCTTATTTTTCTTTTCTTTTCCCTTCTGTTATCCACATTCCCAGTCCATACAAGCAGAAGCCTCGCCAGCTCCCACTTGTCTCATGGAGGCCCATCTTACCAGTGGCTGCAGAGTAGCAATGACACAGCTGTGCACCTCTGCATATCCCTGCTCCCATTAATTCGGGAGCAGTCATGGGGATACCTGCTTGGTCTGAAGAGTTACTATAATGAGCTGCCATTAGAAACTTCATACAGGCAGAAATCTAATATTCTCATGTTATGCTTAAGTAACCTTTAGTTTAATTACACTGCAGCAGCAGCTGCCATACTTTCTGAACAATGTTATCTGATTCATTTCTGCCCCGCAATGCAAATCACTGGATATTAAAACACCTTCACGTCAGATTGTGTTTTTTTATCCCAGGTAGCTGTCTCCAATTCAGATAAACATTTTTTAACATACTGCTCAATATAGATAAACATCAAAATATAAAAGCAGAAATTATAAATAAAAGTCTTCTATCAAGTGCTTTCCAAGATTTTTCAACAGAAATGTACCTAAGGACACAGAGATCATTCCAGACAAAATTATGACAGGCAAAAGGTCAACTCTCATTTCAGAAGCTCAAAGGTTAAAATCTCTGGTTATAATCTGAAACAGATAAAGTTCACCTGTGAAGCTTAATTTATTTTAGAACATCGTGCTATTATGTGACAGAAACTTTGAGCACAAATGGAAATTATTTGAGGAGAAGTCCAAAACAGCTTGAAAACATAAGCTCAGTCTGTTAGTTTACGTAAGTTTATACACTCTTTCCTTCTTACATTTAATGGCAGAGAAATAATTTCTAACACCAGCGGATTTGGCAATTTAAAAAGGCAAAGGTAAACACCTGAGAGCCACTGAAAGGGTAGAAGGACCACTGCCACTTCTTGGTCTTGGTAAACCCAAGAATGCTGTAATAGGCAGGCATTCCACAATTTCAGTTTCAAAATCGCCCTGAATTATGTCAGAGATCCATTTTGTTGTTTTTCTGGGTTTTTGGGTTTGGTTTTTTTTTTTTTGTCTTTTAAAAACACATGTAAAGACCAAAGGAGAGGTGGAACCAGCCACAAAGCCCAGGAACAGACCATTTAAATTCTCCCCTTTGCTATTAGGACAACATACCTTTAAGAGTTTTGCCTGGTAGCTCTAAACACAGAGAATCTTCCTAAAACTCAAGTGAAATTACAATCAATTTCACAAGGCAACTGTAAGATTTCCAGTCCTTTAACATTCTCTCACAATTCTCTTATCTATTCTAAACATAAAGTTTCTTGGCAGATTTGATTAAGAATGTAGTGGGAAAATTTGGTGACTGGACAATTTTACTCACTGGGAACAAGATTCATAGGTGAAGAAATGTAGAAAGCAGCATTGATACATCTTCCTCTGCTAAACCTATGAGAAGTGTGACAGACTAAAACCATTTCTTCTTTGGCCATGAGGAGACAGTAATTTTTTTTAAACAGGTTTTTCAATCAAACTTGCTCTACAGCTATTTCTTTCTGCAACCGACAAAAATGTCAGATAAAATTACTGTTAGCACTCACATTTGTGGGCCATAAAAGAAATTAGACTTTTATTTTGGTTTTGTTTCTGACTCAAAGGCTGAAAAGGTTTTCCATTTCTGCGTGGTTTATAAATTTAGAAGTAGTCAGTTTTTGTGAAAAAAATCTGTCTTCAGATCAATCTCCACTTTTCTTAAATAGACAATGAAGGGTATTCAACATTCTAGTAAATGCAGAACAACAATTTAAGAATAATTTTCCCTGATTCAAAAATAAACAATGTTTTTTAAAGGAATCAAAAAAATCAGAGATGGTGATGTAGGAAAAGAGAGATAAAGATAAAGACACTGCACAGTTTGTGGTGTCTTTTTCGCTTCTCTTTATGGTATCAGAAAGCAGATTCTGGTCAGTAATATAGTCAGAGACAAAAAAAATCATGTGCCTCACTGTTTGAAATAGAACAAACCTCCTACCATTTTGAGAACTCCTCTAAAAGAAGTGAAATGAGAGGAAAGCCTGTATTTTACATCCATCAAGGATAATTAAAAATTGAATCAATTTTTGAAACCTCATTACCAATCACCTTGGGGAAAGATGCACCCTCATCAGTATTTTAACAAAGTCTATCCGATTGTGTCCTCACAACACCTGGTAAGTGTTGGTCAAAGCTTTCCAAGGAAACTCGCCCTCCACAGCTGTAGGGCACCAATAAATCAGTCACAGGAAGAGACTCAAACAGCAGTGCTGACAAGGTGGCTTTCAGGAGAAGACCACCAATGTATCTGCATGGAAATTTGGCTCAGCTAGGGTTGAAAAAGGCAAGGGAAAAAGTGCTCCCAAAATCTCTTGTAATCCTAAACTCAGGATCATACATTTATAAACAATGACTGTGAAGATATTAACAGGAATAATATTACACTGAACTTAGGATAAAAAATGTAACTACCCTGGATTTTGTTCTGGCACACCACCAAACACAAAACAATCTAAAAAGAGAAAGATGAACAGTTCAGTTCTGATGTAATGGGTATGAGATACACCATCCTAGTTTGACTTCAGTCAAGAGTTAGTGACAAAATGTAGTTAAACTATTCATGCTTGCTCAACTATTCACAGTTACGTAAGGCTATGCCTCTGATTTTCCATTGTATTGTACAGCATGTTCAAGTATTAATTCTAGCAAAAAGTCCATATGGTTAGCAAGAACAAAACAACAAATCACTTAATTAAGATTTTATCACTTTAATTTTCACCAGAAGACATTTATACTGCTTCTTATTAGTCCTCTGTGGTTTTTAGCTAGGAACTGTGTAGGCTGAGTAAACTTGTGTGCATGCATATAAATGGATATTTCTGCATGGGCAGATCTAGATTTGGCCAGAGCAATCTGAGGAACCCAGGGCTTTTGGAGACACTTCTGTGTGAGGATCTCACACCAGCAGGGGTTCACATGACTTCTCTCTCTTCTCTAATGGAGACGTGGGAGTCAGCCACAAGATCTCACAGGGAAAATGCAAGAGTCAAATTTGCTCCCAAGGGAGGTGCCCTTATCTTGCAGAGGGCCACATCATTTTCTCAACAAACCACATGGAAGTGCAGCAACCCAGTCCCAGGCTCTGCTCTGTGTGGTCAGGCAGGGAGGGAAAGGTGTGCTGCACAGGGACACACAGGTGACACAAGGCCAAATGCCCGTTCCTGTTACATATCTCACACGCAGATCTCAAGTGTGTGCATTAATTGCGATATAGGATTGCTGTCTCTCCAATTCCCTCCTTTAAGACCCACCTGTACCAGGAGACAGTCCTAGCATTTCTTCCCTTCCCTCCCGAGCTCACAATCTCCAGCTTGTTCCCAGACACAATAGCCAAATGCTCACAGTAGAAATGATTTGACAGCATGCTTAAAAGAAACAGAAATGCATTTTCTCCTCCCAGCAACAGGAGAAAACTGCAACATGCAAACTGCTTTAATACAGCAGCTTATACTTTTCTCTTACTCTTTGATGTGAGTAGGTCTCCCCAAGACACTACTCTTCTTTTTCCCATTTAAAACTCTTTGTTCCAACTCCCTGCCCTGAATACACACCCCACCCGTCCTGAACACCAGCTTGTAATCCAAACTGTTGTAATCTCAACAGTGACAAATGTGCTCCTGTGAAGTGTAAAGTACGGAGAGCTGCAAAACAGCACCCTGGAATTAATAACTTTTATTTTTGTATACATGCTGCTTAGATTACTGCTTGAATTAACCTCTTGTAGCCATTCAACAAGTAATCTAAAGCAAACAAAATATACAGAACATGTAAAACCCTCCTGGTAGGTCCCACATCCTTTACCAAACAGTGTAAGAAGCAGGACTATTTTATACTTGGTTATGTTGCTTGGCTGATGACTAACCCTCATCTCAATCAAGCATTTACATGTCTGGAACCAGGATCATCTCATTTATGATCAGCTTGTAGCCAGAAATGTCAGTGCTTTCTTATGACAGCAATTTACATATCTCCTCAGATTTTAACATATACTTTTCCAAAGTGGTGTTCCAATCCACATACATGTCTTTACTTTCTTAACCCCATCCATGGAGCCTGCCTGACCTCACACTGAGGGCTGAGACCAGCAGGCACTCCTGCAAAGCTGATGCCCAGTTCATATCAATTTAAGCAAAACAGAGCCATAGTAGCAAGCAGCACTGCATCAGAACTTTGGCAAAAATCAGGAGCCAGACTGCTTTCTGACAACATTGCATATTTACCTGACAGCATCATCTTTAAAAATACAAGGATTAGAAAATTAGGTGACAGCATTTCATGCATCTGTAAAACCTGTTCCAAAAACCCTTCTGAAATCTTGGATGGTGGGGTGGGGGGAAGGTTGATAAAACATCTGTCTGGTAAGTTAGAAGCTAAACAAAAGATTTCAATTTTTAAAATTTCCACTTCTGGTAAAATAAGGGAGAGTGCGAAGAAATTAAAATGGACAGTTTTCCTCAACCTGACCTTTTAAGGTAAACCAGTTTTCAACTGCTTTAGAAGATACAGAAAGCACAGCTGAAAGATTCCTGTATAAGGTGATTCTTGCTTACTAAGAGACATTGCATATGCAAAAGTTTATATAAGAAATGTTTTTCTAGGGGAGGTCCTGCTTCAGGATCACGATTCCAGAAAGAAGTCACTTTGCTAGGGTAAAGCATACAAATGACCAGTGAACAAGATATAAAAACCAGAATGATCTGCTGTAAGAGCACAACAAAATAGCAGCAGAACAAATAATCACAGATTTCTTCGCATTTCTTGATCATGCATGAAGCAAGCTCAGCTATGTTACAACAGAAAAGACTCTCTAATGCCATAAGTAGAAAGTGCAGAAAGTTTTAAAAAATGGTTCACATTTCTGTTGGAGTATTTTGGACTCAAACCATCTTCAAAGCCTTGTCAATAGCTCTTTTTTCTTCATTCACAGCAGTGTCAACAAAAGGTTAACAATTATTTAGGAGGAATATAAGAGAATATATCTAGATTTAAAAGAAGCTGAGACGAGCAGGGGTAAACTTGGAAACCGAAGCAGAAATTGATGATATCCTCACTCATTCAAGAAAGTCATATTTAGGCATTCCAGGTCTCTCTGTCATCATTTCTATTGGCCAAACTATGAATAAACATGAGGAAAAGATAATTAATCATACTCCCTGGAATTAAATTGTCCAAAACAAGCAGCGGCCCTAAGAATCTGAAACCCCACTGTTTCTTGTGGCACATAGAATTCCTTGTGGGGGAAACATCAGAGAACTAGAACCAGCTTTGCTTCCCACACTGCCCATTTGTGAATTCTTTCCTATTAATAGAGTGAAACACCACAATCAGACTGACCTACTAGAATAGACTGTGGTTAGAAGGAGGCACTGGGCTGTGAGCTCAAAATTTCTCTTTTCCAAAAAGGACACATGGATTCCTATGTTGACATGATGAGGGAGGCAGTCTCTGAAGGGGAACAAGCAGGGAGCAAAGCTGGTTCACAAATACAGACTCTTCCCAGGTCTTTTGATGGCCTCCAGCGATCTCCTCTGAAACTTCAGCTAGATCGGTAATGCCCAAGGAGGAAATCCACTCATGGTTTCATACGCACACTTGCACAAGTCAGTCACATACTGAACTCAAAATTGTAACAATCTTCAGAATCACAGTTTTCTCTAAGTTTGTGGAGTTATTTTAAGAGCATAAGTCTAGTGAACAGTAATGCCTATACCTCTGTGGTTTAGAAAAATTAAAAATTATTGCCAAAAGCTAAAATAGATTTTTTTATGTTAAAATATCACTATATAGTAATATTTAGAAAAATTGAAAAATTTTTATTATAAGGGTGGTCAGGCATTGGAATGGGCTGCCCAGGGAGGTGGTGGAGTCACCATCCCTGAAAGTGTTCAAGAAATGACTGGGCATGGCACTTAGTGCTATGGTTTAGTTGGTATGATGGTGTTTGGTCAAAAATTAGAATCAATTATCTTGGAGGTCTTTTCCAGCCTTAATGATTCTCTGATCAGGTGTTAAGCAGAAATCCTTGAAGAAGGGAAGGGAATTTTATGCTCAAACTGTGCTATAAAGGCGCCATCTGAAAGAAAAAGACCTCAACAACATGTGCAATCTGAGGAGCATAACAGGAACTGCCACCATTAAAAAAAAAAAAATCTACTAAAAAATTCAGCACTTACATATTCCAGAAACCCAGAGCTACACTCAGAGTAAGCACAAGAGACAGGATTGTTTTGCACTCTTGGCACAACCATGCACATATTGTGAAACCAGAAAACTGCTTTTTGATCAACCTCTACCTTACAAAAGCAATTTAATGCTCTTATTTCCTAGGCAGCTATAAGTGAAGCAGCTATTTCTACTCAACCAAAAGTGAGTCATCCACTGGTGAAGCATTGGATGATGCTTCTTCTGCCAAGACATCTGGTTCTCTACCACAGTGATCAATGAGAAAAGCACAACCCTGGGAACAGTAACTGTTAATTAGTTAAAAAAAGTTGAGGATCACTCATGGCAGGAGGAGGAAAGGGAGGTTACTGAGGGTCTTGAAAAATAGCACCTTATTTTTTCTAATTTTTTGGGATTAGACTGACAGAATTAAGCTGAAACCTGATGCCTTTGCTACTAGGCTTATTATTATTATTATATTTTTAAGCTGCTCTCAAAATTCTTTTAGTAAAGAAAGCCCAAGAAAGCACAAGTTTTAAAATACTTCAGGAGTTTTTCCCTTCTTTTTGCAGCTTGATAAAGTTGTAGAGAAACAGAAAGAAGTTCACAGAAGAATGCTGGAACAACTACTAATGGTAGAAAAAGCACACAGACAGACACTGCATGAACTAGAGGAAGAGAAGAGGAAGCACAGCAAATACATGGAAAAAAGTGATGAGTTTACAAACTTGCTGGAACAAGAATGTGAAAGGTAAGGCTATCTCTTACCATAGTATTAAGAAAATGCACAATTTAACATTACATCTAAGAATCTCTCTGCTTTATTTTGCATCCACTAAAAATCAGACATATTTGTGAAACTGTATTTTGAGAGTTCAGCTGGGAAAACGTAACTAATGACTTCTAACAAACAATTATGTCTACATCTCCATCAGCCAGCAAGGTAGGTCAAACAGTTGGCAGATTCTTCAGCACTGTTGCATGATGCCAAGGAGGTTACACTGCAAAGAATACAGGGAGAGGAGCAGATGTGTGACACTGTAACCAACAGGAAGCAGGTGAACCTTTCCGTGTGTTTTAGAAGCTTGGTACACTCTACAGTATGTAAGGCATGGAACACGTCATCAGACATGCAGCCTTTCATGGCAGAGAAAAAAACATGAGGAAAAGTAGATATTTGGACAAAACATAGAAATACATAGCGTGAAAGCAAAGGCAAAGGATAATGTCCAGAAAGCTTTGAAAGTAAGAATGACAAAGGTCTCCTATCAGGGTTGGCATAAAACACATAAAAACAGCTTTATTTTTTAAGATTAACCTAGAAGTGCCACAGCTTGTTTAAGCACAGTGTTACAGTTTCAATACCAATTCTCACAAGAATTAAGAATTTAATTTCATTTACTGTCTTTAAAAGAAGCCACTTTATACTGTGCCTTCTTTGAATCTGCAGTACAACTAAACACATCCTAAGGGGGGAAAAAAATCAAAGAACATTTCCTATTCCCTGTATAGCTAGCCCAGAAGATAGGAGAATATTGTCTCAGTTTCCTTTCGTTTAGGAACAGATGGAAATGTTTGGGTGTGAGAACGTCAAGCCTATTCTAAACTCACATTATGCACAGATAATTCTTCCTTTGCTTGGCCTGTGTTACATCATGTCCCACATATTCTGGCAGCGCTCACGCCGTGTGCTGCACCTCTCTCCTGCACATCGATCAAAGGCAGCACACACCGAACACGCGGCCGGATTTACAGCTCACAGCTACAGAGGCTGGGGAAGAAAATGTGTACAAAAAAATGTATGCAGGCAAGCACAGACACACAGAGAAAAGCACATACTAGGAACTGTTCTTGGGAATCATCATCAATCAGGAACCAAACCCTGAGATCAAGGGAAGTTTTCATCTCTGCTGTCTTCTCCTCAAAATATGACACATTCATCTCTCAGAGGCAGAGCCAGACAACTCCACTTGCTGAGAGTGGCAAATGTTACATCAGACGATGTGCTCACACTGTGAAAAGCTGCACGCAGGGAAAGACTAAGTACTGGAGTAATTATATATTTTTTTTAAAGAGGACAGACATTGGATTAAAACTCTCTTCCCTGCCCCTCTCTATATCCCTCTATCCCTTCCCCTCTGCCCCACCTCTTTTCCCATTCCCAAGAAGACTGTAAAGCATTTGCCACTATTGTCTGCTACTTTTAGTCAAGCTGCCTGGAAAATGGTGGGAAGAGGGGGAATGCTGAGGTGCTTAAAGAGCCCTTAGAGGATATAATAATAGCTTTCAGATTAAGTCTTTTTTTTTTTTTTTTTTTGAGGATGTATTTTATGTGGAAAACCTTAAGGGGGTGTGATGTCACTTACTGAGCTGATTCCAAATTGTTTGCCAAGTAATGTCACCATCAAGATCTCCACACAGTTGCCTGCCATAACAGCAAAAAAAAAAGAAAAAAAAGAAAAGCCCAACAAAAAAATCCACAACAAAAAAACCACTCACCAAGTTAAGACACATGAGCCTGCCTGACATGGCAAAGTGAACTTTTCTTCCACTTGAAAATTCTTACTGCAATTTACATTTTCTCAAATGCAAACTTTGCATTTGGATTAAGAACAAATAGAACTCTAGAAAAAGTTTCACACATAAAGCAATGACGTGAAGTTTTGCTTACTCCCAATACAAGTAAAAAAAATAAAGCAGGAAGTATTCACCAATTAACTTATTTTTCTTTTTTAGCCAGAAGCAATATCCTCTTCTATATGATGGATATATAGCATTCCAAACAGTATTTCAGGTTCAAAGCATAATCCCCGACTTTCATTTAGCCAAAGACGTGCCTTGCTTTTATCAAAGAGCAAGACTACAGTATATGCTAAAGATATCCTTGGAGGATATGTAATGTATACAAGTCAAACAAAGTACATGTGACTGTGATCAAAAGGAAAAAAACTTAGATGCTATGAGACAATGATGCTGAGATTCTGAAAACTACTTCTTATGGCAAGATTAAAGAAATCATTAGTTAGATCCAAGTTTTACAAACTGTTCTGGATATATCTTCAAATAAGGCAGAAAGAAAGTACTTCCTTTCTCTTGCCTGTGTGCTCAGAAAAACAACTGAAGAATTTTAACATGAAAATTTTAGTGATGAATTTATCAGATTATAATGTTTTACATAAACTAGACAACCCTTCATCTCTACAGCCTTAGTATTGCCTTATGCCCTTCATTGATGGCATCTCTCATTGAAAGATTTAATGTTTGGATTGTGCAAAATATAAGAGTCTTTGGTGACTCAGTAAAAGCTCTTCATCTTAACGATTCAAGAATTTGACTTTACAGTAAAGCAACAAGACTGTCCACAGCAATTGTACATTGTCACATTTGGGAGGTTAAGCTCATGACAGGATGAGTGAAAACTTTCTAGCTATGAGAACCAGATTAGCATTCAATGTTAACCCTTTAGGCAATTTAAGTATTTTTCTTGTTGCCAGTGAAAAACTAATCCTCCATAGTCTTGATGTAGTTCAGAGAAAAAACCTGATCTTCAAAGTGAACAGTCTCATTCCTTACAACAGACATTTACCAGCAAACAAAGAATAAAACTAGGCTACTGTGATTGTAGTGATTCATCTTCAGTCACACTTTTAAAGCATAGAGCCACAAATGAGCCACAAGCCTGATAAACTCATAGCATATGAGGAAAAGTCCTGTGGAGAAAAAAGAGGCCAATGGACAACTGGATAGGTCTTTCCTGCACTTCAACATGAATGATTCTCTGTGTGTGCATGCAGACCAGACAGGAACACCAAGACAAACAACCTGTGCATGGTAGTGTAGCAGACCAAGTCAACTAGAGTTCAGAAGGGAAAAATTGGTTGTATTGTTGAAACTTAAAGAAACAGCAGCACCAAAGTTCAGAGAAATGTAAGAAATAATAAATCCAGAAGCTGCAAGTATACAAAGACAACTAGATGCACCTCAAGAATCATACCATAAAATCTACTGGCCTTGTTTAGAAGCTCTTACATTTCATGGGGTTGGAAGATGGAGAGCAGTATTAAAGACTACAAAGAATACTTACTTCAGCTTCTAATTCAGAGTCCACTGTATCTTCCCTGAGAATGAATGCATTTGTCCAAAATCACTTATCCACATTCCATATTTTTGCAGCACAGTTAAATAATAAAAGCTGCTGTTTTAGAAAACATTTTACAAGAGTAAAATATGAAACTGGAAGGTTTTCCAGATATCCATGATCCCAGTTTGAAAACACATGCCATATGCATACAAGTATTTATGCATATACATAGTACTCCACCCCACACAAAAAAAAGAAACAAAAGAGCAAAATGGTAGAACGTTTAGCACTTCCACAGTCCTTTTCCACTGCATATCTCAAGGAGCTTTAAATATTATCTAAGCACAGCTATTCCCTATTTTCCATTTACTGAAAGGAAATGAAGGTATGAGGAAAATAAATCAATCACAGGTACCTGAGAGTTAAACTGGATGAAAGGAAGAAATGTCCCAATGTATAGGTGTGTTCCACCTTCAAACCTTCTATATTCTATACAGAGTCTCAACTATACAAAGGGTAAAGCTTTATTATGAAAATACACCTGTTAAGAGGTCAATGTTATTCAAGAGGACAGGGGGGGAAAAAAGGAGTTTGCTAATAAGTAATGTAAATACATTTTTGAAGGTAGTTATGATAAATTTGCTCACAGAATTCAAACATTAGCACAAAACTCTGCAGTTTGGTATAGAAGGTATTAATAAGATCTTAAGATTAAGGATCATCTACTAATATGAGGGTCCTTTTCCATGAAACCCAATCTGCAGAAGTCTCACATATGTAGCTTTTCTCATCTAACAAACCATTACAAAACACCGTTTTTTGCTCCATCTGCTGCCACCCTCAATGTCAGTCAGTTAATAGAAAAAATGGAGTGATGCAGGTTGCAAGTGGTCTCTGGAGGTCTCCAGCCCAACCTGCTGAGTGCAGGGCTAACTTCACAGTCAAAGCAGGTTGCTCAGATCCTTGTCCAGATGACTACTGAAGATTCCCAAGGTAACTGTGTTGGCTGCCTGGGCTCCTGATGAAAACGCAGGCATCTTCACCAAAAGACCTGCTCCCTCATTGTAGGCATTGTTCTGGTCTGGCTTCCATGTTCAACCAAAACTGCTCTCAGTAAAAGCTCAGTAACATCTCTTCTTCTGGCAAAGCTCTGAACTTAATCTGTCTTCACTTTCTCTGATAATTTGGCTGCCTTGGGCACAAATGAGCATTCAGCACTTCCTTGCCATCTTACCCACACCGTATCAGCGACTCCAGCTTGGGCTCATTTCTCTGAGTGCTCCACAGGGTTGGAAACCCCAGGGTGGTTCCAGCCTGAGTTGGAAACTTATAATTGTCTACCTCTGCTCTCTTCATAGCACTCCATAGGTCTTATTTTTAATGTCTTTTCGTCATCCATTCACTCTCTGTGCTTCTCCTCACAGAAACTCAAAGTCAGGCATCATCTCTATGGTGATGACTCAAGTGTACTCCAGCCATCACCAAAACACCAAATCTCACCATATGAGCAACCTGTCATGAGAACGTCATGACAGGTTCATGAGAACCTGTCATTCCCAACTTCATGAAAACAGAAGGGAATCAGTCTTTTATCCCTCAGCCTTTTGGCTTCATCCTTACAATTCTCTAATACCTCCATTCTTAAAACTGGGGTAACTGCTTGTCACTCA